GAAAGAGGTGGAAAAAATGGAAGAGAGGAAAGAGGTGGAAAAAATGGAAGAGAAGAAAGAGGTGGAAAAAATGGAAGAGAAGAAAGAGGTGGAAAAAATGGAAGAGAGGAAAGAGGTGGAAAAAATGGAAGAGAGGAAAAAGGTGGAAGAGAAGGAAAAGAAAGCAAAAGTGAAAGTACACAAGGCAAAGGAGCTGATAAAGGTGATAAATCTGGAAAAGGTAGGCAATTATTTTAAAATGTTGAAGTCTCTAAATGTTGTTTGCAAAGATTTCATAATCATTGTTTAATTAAATACCTGACAATTTCCCTAGTATTTACTGACTTTCATATGCATACTATTAAAAATGTAAATAGACTTGACCCATGCTAAGTTCTTATAATCTAAAATGTATTTTGTGATGTGTTTATGTTTTGCTTTTTGAGAAAACTTAAAAAAAATTCTCTAGTTTTAAAATATTGAATTTCTGGCCTTTGTTTTGTAAGAGGACATGAGAATAACCACTTTCTATCCAATACATTTTTAAAAAAAAAAAAGTATTACCTGTCCAAGGGGAATAAAGGAGAAAAATAAATATTGTAATTGGTAAATTAAAAATATTTAATCAGGAGAAAAACTTGGCTATCAAATTATTAGGAAGGAATTTCATATTTGAAAAAAGTAAAAACAATAAATAACAACAAAAGGAAAGGAAAAGAAAAAGTTCCAGTTCTACAGCTTTCTAAGTAAATTTCATTTTTTTAAAGGGGGAACAATATGGAAAAATTAGTTATATGTTCAATGCTAGCTGTAATTATAATGTGCTATGCCTTATATTTCTTTTATGTCTGTCACATAGTCACTATTCTAATGAATATAAATTCTCTGGTGGAATGTGGAAATCAATGTAGTATTAATAGAAAAATGTACATTAACACATTTTAGATGAACTTAGCTGTGTTGTAAAACTTGTTTAATGTCTCTTATAGCTTTTGGGAAGTTTATGGTTTGAAAAATACCCAGAACATTTTAGCCGTCTCTTTTCCATTTTCTATGGGGCAGCTAGGTAACACAGTGGATAGAATGCTGGGTGTGGAGTCAGAAAGATTCATCTTCCTGAGTTCAAATCCAGACTCAGACACTAACTAGCTATGTCACCTTGGACAAGTCACTTAACCTTGTTTGCCTCAGTTAAAGGTTTTAAGTGAAGTAATTTTTAGCTCTATAGTTAACAATACATGTCTATATTAGCCATTGCTCATTGGATTTCTTTTTTTTTAAATATATTTTATTTATTTTATTAAGTATTTCCCAATTACATGTAAAAATAATTTTTAACAATCATTTTTTTAAAATTTTGAGTTCCAGATTCTCTCCTTCCCTCCTGCTCCAGCCCCCTCCTTGAGAAGGCAAGCAATTTGGTATCAATTACATACGTGAAATAATGTAAAACATATTTCCACATTACCCATATTGCAAGAAAAAAAACCACAGACAGAAAACCCAAGAAAAATAAAAAAAAGTTAAAAGTAGGTATACTTCAATCTGCATTTGGAGTTCATCAGTTCTCTTCTGAAGATGGATAGTATTTTTCATCATGGCTTCTTTGGAATTGCCTTAGATCATTGTCTTTCACAGTTGATTATTGTACAATATTACTGTTGCTGTGTACAATGTTCTGCTGGTGCTACTCACTTGACTTTGCGTGAGTTCATGTAATTCTTCTCAGCTTTTCCTGAAAGCTATCCTGCTTGTCATTTCTTATAGTTTAATGTTGCATCACAATCCTATACCACAACTTGTTCAGCCATTCCCCAGCTGATGGGCATCCCCTCAATTCCGAATTCTTTGCCACCACAAAAAGAGCTGATATAAATATTTTTTATAAAAGTAAGTCCTTTTTCCTTTTCTTTGATCTCTTTAGGATTAAGACCTAGTAGTGGTATTTCTGGGTATGCACAGTTTGCTAGCACTTTGGGCATAGTTCCAAATTTTTCTGCAGAATTGTTGGACTAGTTCACAAATCCACCAACAATGCATTAGTGTCCCAGTTTTTTCGCGTCCACTGCAGTATTTGTCATTTTCCTTTTCTCTCATGTTAGCCAATCTGAGTGATGTGATATGGTATCTCAGAGTTGTTTTAATTTGCATTTCTCTAATCAGTAGTGATTTACAACATTTTTTTTTGTGAATATTGATAGCTTTTATTTCTTCTTTGAAAATTGCCTGTTCATATCTTTTGACCATTTATCAACTGGGGAATGGCACGTATTTTTTATAAATTTGGCTCAGTTCCACATGTATTTGAGAAATGAGGCCTTTATCATAGAAACTTGCTGAAATTTTTTTTCCACAAATAACTATTCTGTTTCTAATTTTGGCTGCACTGGTTTTGTTTTTTCAAAAGTCTTTAAATTTCATGTAATCAAAATTACCTGTTTTACTTACCATAATCTTCCCTTATCCAGAGATCTGATAGATTTTTCTCCTACTCCTCCAATTTACTTATGATATCACTCTTTAAATCATTATCCATTTTAACCTTATCTTGGTATATGATATGAGATGGTAGTCTATGCCTAGTTTCTGCTAAAATGCTTTCCAGTTTTCTTGGCAATTTTTGTCAAATGGTGAGTTTTTATTCCAGTAGCTTGGATCTTTGGATTTATTAACACTAGATTACTTTGGTCATTTACTACTGTGCATTATCTATTTAAATCTATTCCACTGATCCACCTCTTTAAATCTTAGCCAGGACCAAATCATTTTGATGATTACCCCTTCTTAATATAGTTTGAAATCTGAAATTGCTAGGCCACCTTTCTTCACATTTTTTTCCATTGATTGCCCTGATGTTCTTGACCTTTTGTTCTTCCAGATAAATTTTGTTATTATTTTTTCTAGCTCTATAAAATTCTTTAGTAGTTTGATTGGTATGATACTGAAAAAATTAACTTAGGTAGAATTGTTATTTTTATTATATTGGCTCAACTTACCCATGAGCAGTTAATATTTCTCCAGTTGTTTAGATCTGTCTTTATTTGTGTGAAGTATGTTTAATATAATCCCTGTGTTTGCCTTGGCAGGTAGACTACCAAGTATTTTATATTGTTTGGAGTTATTTTAAGTGCAATTCTTTTTTCTTTCTCTTCATGCTGGTTCATGCTTTATTGGTGATATATAGAAATGCTGATGATTTACATGGGTTAATTGCTAAAGTAATTAACTGTTTCAAACTAATTTTTTATTTGATTCTCTAGGGTTCTCTATGTATACCATCCTATCATCTGCAAAGGGTGATTGTTTTGTTTCTTCGTTTTCTATTTTTATTCCATCAGTTTCTTTTTCTTGTGTTATTATTATAGCTATCGTTTCTAGTATGATATTGGATAATAGTTGTTAAAATGGACATCCTTGCTTCACCTCTGATATTATTGGGAAGGCTTCAAGTTTATCCCCATTACAGATAATGGTTGCTTTTGGTTTTAAATAGATATTACTTATCACCTTAAGAAAGGCTCCATTGATTCCTGTGATTTCTAGTGTTTGTAATAAGAATGGGTGTTGTATCTCGTCAAAGGCTTTTTCTGCATTTATTGAGTTAATCATATGGTTTTTGTTGTTTTTGTTATTGATGTGGTCAGTTATGCTGATAGTTTTCCAAATACTGAACCAGTCCTGCATAACTGGTATAAATCTCACATCATCATAGAATATGGTGTTTGTGGTATATTACTGTAATCTCCATGCTAGTATTTTATTTAATATTTTTAATATTAATATTTAAGGATACTGGCCATTCGTTTTCTCTGTTTCTGTTCTCCTTGGTTTAGATATCAAAACCATATTTGTGTCATAAGAGGCATTAGATAGGACTCTTTCTTTACTTATTTTTTCAAATAGTTTATGTAGTATTGGGATTAATTGTTTCTTAATGTTTGGTAGAATTCACTTGTAAGTTATCTGGTCCTGGTTTTTTTTTTTTCCCTTAGGGAGCTCATTGATGGTTTGTTCAATTATTTTCTAAGATAGGGTTATTTAAGTGTTCATTTCCTCCTCTGTTAATCTGGGCAGTTTATATTTTTGTAAATATTCATCCATTTCACTTAGATTTCCAGTTTTATTGGCATATAATTGGCATAACAACTCCTGATAATTACTTTAATTTCATCTTCATTGGTGATGCATTCATCCTTTTCATTTTTGATACTAGTAATTTGGTTTTCTTCTTTTTTCTTTTTAACAAAATTAATCAATGGTTTATCTGTTTTTATTTATAAAACCAACTCCTAGTTTTATTTATTAATTAAATTTTTTTTTACTTCCATTTTTATCTTAATTCTATTTTTACAGGATTTCCATTTTGGTGTTTAATTGGGTATTTTTAATTTGTTCTTTTGCTAGTTTTTTAGTCATATCCCCAATTCATTGATTTGCTCTTACTCTCTTTTATTGATGTACTCATACTCATTTAGAGATATGAATTTTTCTCTAAGTACTATTTTGGCTGCATCCCACAGATTTTAGAATATTATCTCATTGTTATCATTTTCTGTAATGAAATTATTAATTGTTTCTATGGTTTGATCTTTGACCCACCCATTCTTTAGGATTAGATAATTTAGTTTCCAATTAACTTTTATTCTATCCTTCCAAGGCTCTTTATTAAATATTTTATTGAATTATGATCTGAAAAGGGTACATTTAATATTTTTGCTTTTCTGCATTTGCTTAGGACTTTTTTAATGCCCTATTACATGGTCAATTTTTGTGAAGGTTCAATATACAGCTGAGAAAAAGGTATACTCCTTTCTATTCCCATTCAGTTTTCTCTAGAGGTCTGGCATATCTGATTTTTCTCAGATTTTGTTCATCCTTTTGACTTCTTTCTTATTTATTTTACAGTTAGATTTATATAGCTCTGAAAGGGGAAAGTTGATGTTTTCCACTAGTATAGTCTTATTGTATTTCCTCCTGTAATTCATTTAACTTCTTTTATCTGCTCTCCATTTTATCACTTCTTTTCCCTTTCCCAGTCGACTTCCCTGTTTGATTAGATAGATTTCTGTTACCAATATAGTATGTATGTGTGTGTGTCACATATATGTGTGTGTGTATATATATGTATATGTTTTGTATATATATATAGTCCCCCTCTTTGGACAAATTTAGATGTGAGTTAGGTTTAGGCATTGCCTGTCCCCCATTCCATTTCCCCTCAAATGTAAAAAGCTCTTGTATTGTTTTAAAGTTGTTTGGAGGGGAATGTTGGGAGAGCTCAGCTAAATGCTTTTTGTATTCTGCCATCTTGTCTCCACCCTTGGAAATCCTACGCACTGGATTTTAACAGAAAGTGAACAAGAAAAAATGGCAAAGTATGAGACAAGAAGAATATGATAGGCATCGTTCTAAGAGAATAACCATGTCTTTTCTCAGGATAAATGTACCAGGATTGGAAGGGATGAAAATTCAATGAGAAATATTCCTAGGTAAAAGGGGGTGGAGATATTTAGTAGGGAATATATCTTGAAGAAGGATTAAAATTATTCCTTTAAACTTTGTCATAAGAAAAAGAACTTACTCTAGTATTTTCATGTTATGTAACTATATTGTTATATTCAACAGAAAATCTCGATGAAAGATAATTTGATACATAGTTCAGAGTAAATATATTGTTATTTTGAATTACAGGCTTTACTTGCCTCCCCCCTCCTTATCTGCCTTATTTAAAATTAAATATAATATATAATCTGTTATTTTACATAAATGTCTTTATAAAATTTTTTTCCTTTCAAAGAGTTCTCATTTAGGATATGGTCTTTAGGCATGGCCTATTTTTGAATCAGTAAGATAATGATGATAGCATCTTCATAGTATTTAATTATTTTTGACACAACCTCGATGTAAAATATTTCAAGACTCTACCCTTAAACTTTCAAGTATCTAGTCAATTCAATAATAATTTTTCTTGGTTGTTTGGGGGTATTTCTAAAGGTTGGGCAGTTATGTTTCAAAGGACTCTGGAGGCTCTGTTATTATAGTTGAAGCATATTTTTCTTTTGGCCTGTCCTTTCAATAAAATATGCATTTTGAGGTTTTGAAATAGGACTGAATATATTTTTTTTTCTTTTTATGTATAATAGAGAAAGTAGATATGAAAGAAGGAAAGAAGAAGATGAAAGAATTGGAGAAGGAGAAAGCCAAGACATCTGCTCATAATTCAAGGCCTCTATCAGATCTGCAACATTCTCTACCTCAATCTCAGCACTCCGTATCACAGAGTAAGCTGCCATGCTCTCAGGATAATTGCTAGATATTTTGGTTGTGCAGGGAAATGTGTAGAGCATTGTTATGTTAGCAGGATCAAGGAAGTTAGAAGGCTTTGGATCAATGTTGTGGAAGGTAGTATTAGACACATACAGTGGGCAGTCTCCAGAATGTTAATTGTGCAGTTTCTCCTGGTTAGGCCCCTGATTTGAGGTTTTCAGAATTGTTAGGCTGCTATTTCACTTTTCCTTGAATTCCACAGAAAAGTCTTCATTACCCCATGTTATCTCACACGTCACTAGATACTCCAGTGCAAGCCACATCTGCTGAATTCAAAGAGCGTATAATCAGACAGTTGTGAAGATTCTCTATAACCCTTCTTAGTATTCTAATCAATTCCTACCAGAATCTAAGGCCCCCAAAAGGGTTGTCTCTTGACATTATGAAGCTTACTTTGCCCCTTTCTTTGTGACTTGCATAGTGTCTAAGTGCATCTCATCTCAAATAGACTACGAGTAATTAGTCATTGGTGTGCTTTTTCAAACTTAGACTATCTGTTAACATCACATTCCAAAATGTGTTGTTTGTTTGTTAGCCAATGTTTTTCCTCTTTGGGTTTGCTAATTGATTTATAAAACTACTGTTAAGACCTTTCAGGGCAAAGATATCAACATAGAATAGATTTGGCTTGTTCCTTTCCTCTCTCCATGGCACCTAGCACCATGCATGGCTAATTGTGGGCACTCAAAAATACTCATTGTATTACGCTTATGGTTGTTATTCAGTTGTTTTTCAGTCATGTCTGACTCTTCATGACCCCACTTGTGGTTTTCTTGGCAAAGATACTGAAGTGGTTTACTATTGCCTTCTCCTACATTTATTGTAAGGACGTATTACTTGTATTTCCTGTATGATTCTTTTTCTTACGGGTCCATTCAAGTCTAAACTGGCTAATCTTTTCTTGTTGTTGCTTATAATTGGGATTTATAGTGGATAGTCCCTCCAGAAGGCAATGGCTCTGATAAAAAGAATAGATTAATTGGGCTTCTTTTTAAGGAATGTTTTAGTTATGTCATCAGATTATCCATAATGCAATAATTTTTCCCTCTAAACCATCCTTCTCTGCACAGTTAAAAGTGCTTCTTTTTAGAAAAAAATTGACAGAACCATGTTTTATTTGGTTTCCTTGTCATTCCTTTTTTATATAATTGTTGATGATAATTTTGGAGGATGTCTATATTTTTCCTTCCTTTTTAGATTTTAATAATGGTAGCAAGTTCTGGTCTACATTCATTGGGATTTCCTCATTCATGAAAGATAATTGAATCCTCTACAAAATCCTACTTGGATGTCTTCTCATGATGTAGAGGTTGTTCTTGGTTCTCTATAATTATGCTTTATCTGGAAGATTCTCCTATGCTTGAAAGACTAAACCTGCTTTCTGGGGAACAACTGAGCAAAGTGTAGAGGGGCCTAAAATTATTGGGCTGTCTACTTGGTGAAGAACTCTGTGTTTACAACAACCCATGAAAGAAAAAATAATAATACTGCAATTTGGTCATCAATCCCATAAAACCACTTTTGACTTCTTTAGAAACAATAACAATAGTAGAGAAGGTATCAGAGGGTACTGAATCACTCTGTCTCATATTATTTCTGAGTGGACATTTTACTAGAAAAACTAAATCATATCAATCTTGAAATCTTTATTAATTAAACTAGAAGAAAAGAGTCAAATGGAAAGATGATTCACAAGTTTTCATTGGAGAGGAAAACAAAAGCATTGGTGTAAATGGTTTATTACACATCTAAAAGCAATAAGAAATGTTATTCTTAGTCATTTCATATTAACAAGAGAAGCCAAAAGTTTGTAGACTATAGAAGTAATATGTGGCAATTTTTAGCTGTGTAATTAAAATATATCAATACCAGCCATAACCCATTGTATGGATATGTGCATATATATATGTATACACATATATACACACATTTGTTTTTACATGGATAATTTCTACACAAAAGAACATCAGGAGTCTCTGAACATTTTAAGAACTGAGTAAGAAAACGAGAAATGAAACTGATTATATTGAAACAGGAAATAACAGATAACTGATGCACAAGTTATTTCTAAGCAACAATCAGACTGTCTATTTGTTAAAGATCAGAATCATTGTTTTCATGCATAATTAAGCCTCCTCCAACTGACTCATTTAAATTAGCTATTGACACTGCCAAATGAATTGAAGAACTTTGTATGCAAGTTATCACCCTTTTCTAACTAAGTTTAATTGAAGTAAAACCAGACATCACAACAAGAAGAGCAGAAGATCCTAAAAAGTGCCTTTGCCAATCAATATTTCATCTCCTTGCCAAGAAGATGGATGTGTTAATCAAGAACAATACTGTTTTTTAATAAAAACTCTTTTCTAAAATCTTATTAAGGAAGATGACTAGTGGTTATGATGAGTATCATTTCTGTTTTATACACTGCTAGATATTAATAATCAGATTTGCAAATGACATTTTGCTGCCTGCATCAAGCCTAAGAACAAATGTTCAGAGCCTCCTAAATGATCATAGGATTTTAGCTTTTGAGATAGAAGGGAATTTTGAGATCATTTAATCTGACCCTCTCTTTTTATAGATGAGGAAACTGAGGCCAAAGGAAGGAAAAAAGACTTTCTGAAGAGTACACTGGGGACAGCAAAAGTGAGATTTGAACAAAGACTTCTAACTTAAAATCTGAGATCCTTTCCTCTGTAGCATATGAAATTCATAATTACTCAAAAGAATTTGACCTAAGTACATCAAAGGAAACACAAAGTGGATGGAGAATGCCTGTTGTCTAGACCATGACATGCAGTTGAATGTCAATCTATAAAATACACATCTTGAAAAGTTACTAAAGTGGACAATGAATTGGACCCATATTTGAACAGAACAAAGGTATCTGGCCAAATTGTATTTGAGAACTACACAGTTCTTTTAATGACCATGAGCTTCTTTCTGAAATGAAGGGACCATCTTGTTAAAACTAGTAATCTTCATGAGAGTCATTGAATTCCACAGACTTTGATGATGAGTTGAAGGTGATTACTCAAAGAGCAATAGAGAAGTGCAGTGTGTGTGTGTGTGTGTGTGTGTGTGTGTGTGTGTGTGTTTAATATTCCTATTAGACATATTTTCACATTAGTGATGTTGTAAGTAAGAATTAGAACCAATAGGAGGAACCACCAGAAAGAGAAAACAAAACAACAGAAGAAAAAAAAATAGCAAATAGCATGCTTTCATCTGCAAACTCCATAGTTCTTTCTTTGGATGTGGATAGCATTTTCCAACATGAGGCCTTTGGAGATGTCTTAGATCCTTGTATTGCTGAGAAGGGTTAAGTCTATCAGTATTAGTCATCACACGACGTGGCTGTTACTGTGTACAACGTTCTCCTGTTTCTGCTCATTTCACTCAGCATCAGACCATACAAGTCCTTCCAGATTTTTCTGAAGTCAGCCTGTTCATCATTTCTTATAGTACAAGAGTATTCTATTACATTCATATACTGCAACTTGTTCAGCGATTCCCCAGTTGATGGGCATCCTCTCAATTTCCAATTCTTTGCCACCACAAAAAGAGCTGCTATAAATATTTTTGTGCATGTAGTTCCTTTTCCCATTTGTGTGATCTCTTTGGGATATTGCCCTAGAAGTGCTATTGCTGGGTCAAAGGGTATGCATATTTTTATAGCCCTTTGGGCATAATTCCAAATTGCTCTCCAGAATGGTTGGATAATTTTGTAACTCCACCAGCAATGCAGTAGTGTTCCAATTTTCCCACATCTTCTCCAACACTTATCATTTTCCTGTTTTGTCATGTTGGCCAATTTGATCGGTGTGATGTGGTACTTCAGAGTTGTTTTTGATTTGCATTTCTCTAATCAATAGTGATTTAGAGCATTTTTTCATATGACTATAGATGGCTTTAATTTCTTCATCTGAGAACTGCCTGTTCATATCTTTTGATCATTTATCAATTGGGGAATGATTTGTATTCTTATAGATTTGACCTAATCCTCTATATATTTTAGAAATGAGGCCCTTATCAGAGAGACTGGTTATAAAAATTCTTTCCCAATTTTCTGCCTTCCTTCTAATATTGGTTGCATTGACTTTGTTTGTGCAAAATATTTTTCAATTTAATGTAATCAAAGTTATCCATTTTGCTTGTCATAATGTTCTCTATCTCCTGTTTGGTCATGAATTCTTCTATTCTCCATAAATCTGATAGGTAAACTATTTCTTATTCTCCCAGTTTGATTACAGTATCAGCCTTTATATCTAAATCATGAACCTATTTTGACTTTATTTTGGTATATGGTGTGCGATTTTGATCTATGCCTAGTTTCTGTCATACTCTTTTCCAGTTTTCCCAGCAATTTTTGTCAAAGAGTGAGTTCTTATCCCAGAAGCTGAGGTCTTTGGGTTTATCAAATAATGGATTACTATAGTCATTAACTACTGTGTCTTGTATACTTAACTTATTCCACTGATCCACCACTGTATTTCTTAGCCAGTACCAAGCAGTTTTGATGATTGCTGCTTTATAATACAATTTAAGATCTGAAATGGCTAGGCCACCTTTCCCTGCATTTCTTTTCATTAGTTCCCTTGATATTCTGGACCTTTTGTTCTTCCAAATGAATCGTGTTATTATTTTTTCTAACTCTATAAAATAATTTTTGGTAGTTTGATTGGTATGGCACTGAATAAGTAAATTAGCTTAGGTAGAATTGCCATTTTTATTATATTAGCTCAGCCTGCCCATGAACAACTGATGTCTTTCCAATTATTTAGATCTGACTTCATTTGTGTGAAAAGTGTTTTGTAATTGTGTTCATAGAGTTCCTGGGTTTGTTTCGGGAGATAGACTCTTAAATGTTTTATAATGTCTACAGTAACTTTAAATGGAATTTCTCTTTCTATCTCTTACTGTTGGGCTTTGTCGGTAATATATAGAAATG